TCTCTAAATGTTTCTATTTTGTATTTGTATGTGGCTAGCCGGGCCTTTTTTTGTGATGCTGTTAGGGCGATCAGCTTTCCACGGAGAACAGCCTTCAAAGCATCTCACAGCATTGTGTTGCCATGGCAACGGCATTTGAAGAAATCTCAAAACGGTCCCATAGATGTATTCACGGCTGGACTGTTAGCACACATGTGAAGTTTGAGCACTTTTGGAACATTTTCATTGGAGTTAATGTAAAGCGACATCGTGTTTTATGGCGAGGGATCCATGTTTCCATGGAAACGGCATATGATGACACCCCATAATTGACGTAGAGCTGTTGAGGGCAGGACCATTAACCTTTATCTGAAGTCTGCTGCTCTGAGCATGTCAGTTGGAGTGATGACAACATCGTGTTCCATGACACAAGTGTTATTTTTGTGTAGTTTCGGGTTAATACATACACCCAGACCCACTGGCAGAGGAGATGGCACTGGTCTCCTGCTCTCTCCCAAATGGAGCTTTTCCCTCTTCAAGCTACCTAACTTCACTCCTTCCACCTTTGAATTCCATGCCGTCACAGTAACCCATCCTATACAGTTAACCATTGTTGTTCTCTACCGTCCAACAGGCGCCTTGGGGGACGTCTTGGAGGAATTAGATAATCTCCTCTCACACATCCCTGAAACTGGCCCTCCCGCTGTACTTCTCGGAGACTTCAACCTCCAGACGGGGAAGATAGACGAACTAACATCTCTGTTAACCGCCTTTGCTTTCTCACTGTCTCCTTCCCCACCGACTCATAAAGCTGGCAATGTCCTTGATCTCATATTCTCAAGGAACTGCGCTACTTCTAACCTCTCTGTAAACCCACTCCACACATCCGATCACTTCTTAATTTCATTCTCTCTACCCCTTTCCAAACATAACAAACTAATCTCTTCTCATCCTGCACTTGTCCGCCGTAACCTTCGCTCCCTCTCCCCCTCTACCTTTGCCTCGTCGGTGCTCTCAGCCCTCCCTTCCTCTGACTCGTTCCAACTCCTGCCTCCAAACTCTGCTGCAGAAACTCTCCTCTCTACTCTCTCATCCACTCTGGACTCGCTCTGTCCTCTCACATCTCGGCAGGCTTGTCAGTCCCCTCCTGCTCCCTGGCTAAATGATGCACTGCGTGCTAATAGAACCGTCCTTAGGGCAGCAGAGCGGAAATGGTGGAAATCCAAACACCGTGACGACCTCCTAACCTATCAAGCTCTCCTCTCCTCTTTCTCTGCTTCGATCTCTCAGGGAAAAAGCACTTTCTTTCAAGATCAGATCCAATCTTCCTATTCCAATCCTAAAAAACTATTTTCCATCTTCTCCACCCTCTTGGACCCCCCCAAAGCTCCTCCCCCCTCCTCACTTCTGTCAAGCGACTTTGTTACCCACTTTGAAAAAAAGGTTGATGATATTCGCTCTTCTTTTTCTGACTCACCTTTACTCACCGCTGGGTCACCAGACCCTCCTTCCACCAACACACTTACCTCCTTTTCCCCTCTCTCTCCAGGTGAGGTTCTTACCCTCATTACCTCTGCCCGCCCTACCACCTGTCCTCTGGACCCTATCCCTTCAAACCTCCTTCAGACTATCGCTCCTGATATTCTACCGTTTCTCACCCATTTCATCAACACTTCTCTAACTTCTGGTCACTTTCCAAACAGTCTCAAGGAGGCAAGAGTAAACCCTCTCCTAAAGAAACCCACTCTCAACCCGTCTGATGTTATAAACTACAGGCCTGTCTCTCTCCTCCCGTTCCTGTCTAAATCACTTGAACGCGCTGTCTTTAAACAACACTCATGTTATCTCAATCAGAACAACCTTCTGGATCCGCACCAGTCTGGTTTCAAGGCAGGTCACTCCACAGAAACTGCTCTCATTGCTGTCACGGAGGAACTGCACACTGCCAAAACTGCATCCCTCTCCTCTGTCATCATCCTGTTGGACCTGTCTGCTGCATTCGACACGGTGAATCATCAGATCCTCCTTCGCACTCTCCAAGAACTTGGAGTTTCAGGCTCTGCACTTTCCCTCCTCACCTCATACCTGAAAGACCGTACCTACAGGGTGACTTGGAGAGGGTCTGAGTCCGACCCTTGTCAATTAACTACGGGGGTCCCTCAGGGCTCTGTTCTTGGTCCCCTCCTCTTCTCCCTGTACACAAACTCGCTCGGATCAGTCATTAGCCCGCATGGTTTTTCTTACCACTGCTACGCTGATGACACCCAATTAATTCTGTCCTATCCCTGCTCAGAGACCCAGGTCGTCGCACGCATCTCTGCTTGTCTAGCTGACATGTCTCAGTGGATGTCTGCTCACCACCTCAAGCTCAACCTTGACAAGACTGAGCTGCTCTTCCTTCCGGGAAAAGATTGTCCCACTCTTGACCTAACAATCAACATCGGCACCTCAGTTTCAGTTGTTTCCCTGACTCAGACTGCAAGGAATCTGGGTGTGACCCTAGATAACAATCTGTCCTTCACTGCAAACATCGCTGCTACAACCCGTTGTTGCAGATACACGCTTTACAACATCAGGAAGATACGTCCCCAGCTGACACAGAAAGCGACTCAGGTTCTGGTCCAGGCTCTCGTCATCTCACGCCTAGACTACTGCAACTCCCTCCTGGCTGGTCTACCTGCATGTGCCATCCGACCTCTGCAGCTCATCCAGAATGCAGCGGCTCGTCTGGTCTTCAACCTTCCTAAATTTTCCCACACTACTCCGCTCCTACGCTCGCTTCACTGGCTTCCGGTAACTGCTAGAATCCACTTCAAGACACTGGTACTTGCTTACCATGCTGCGAATGGATCTGGCCCTTCGTACATCCAGGACATGGTTAAACCGTACACCCCAGCACGTGCACTCCGCTCTGCATCAGCCAAACGACTCGCTGCGCCCTCGCTGCGAGGGGGACCCAAGTTTCCAACGGCGAAAACACGTGGGTTTGCTGTCCTGGCTCCAGGATGGTGGAATGAGCTCCCCATTGACATCAGGATGGCAGATAGCTTGCACATCTTCTGGCGCAAACTGAAAACTCATCTCTTTCGACTCCACTTCGAGCGATAGAACTATTAACGAAGCACTTTTATACTAATAAAGGACTGGCTTTTCTAAAGCCAGTTGAGTATTACTTGAAATGTTTTTGCCCTATGAAACCTGATGTACTTATATGATTCTATTTTCTTCAAGTTGTATTTTGTTGGACGAACGCACTTATTGTAAGTCGCTTTGGATAAAAGCGTCAGCTAAATGCAATGTAATGTAATGTAATGTAATAATGTGGCCTTTTTGGCAGTTTAACTAAAGGTGTGCGGCTGCTGCCGTGAATAAATATCTGCCTGAAATTACAATGGGCTTTAAAGGAGGAATGTTGAACGTTTTTGTCACTTCATGCCCTCAAGAGGCATTTTGTTTAATTATTTTTGCTTAATTATTTGTCATTTTTCAAGCTACGAGATGTTTTCCTATGTGTGTCATGATAAATGATGTCTCAGGAATGTAGGGTTTGGGAATTATGGCAGTTTAAAAAAAAACAATATGAAGGCAAATTTCAAACTGTCCTCCACTCTAACTCTGACATCACGCACTCTGCGTTAACGAGCTGCGCAATGTTAAAGTAAAAATGTTAAAAATGTGATGAATTATGGGATGTATCTCTGGAATTACAAAAGTTATGAATGAGAAAAGTGCTCGCGGTCTCGGCCCCACCTGCACCCCTCTCTCCAACGCGCTGCCATGTCTTGGTCTGGTGGAGATGCTCCATCTCCAGGTACAGCTCCGAAGCGTTGCAGTCTGGTATCTCTACGGAGAAACCTCTCCTCCTCAGCTCCTGCGCTGCATCTTGCGCACAGTCGTATGTGCGTGTTCCCGAGTCTCAGTGAATGCGCATCCTGTCAAGAGGAGTCTGGAAACGTATATTTTTCTCCTTAAGGACCCTCTTTATTCCCACGTACGCCTTGCGCTTCAGGACGACCTCCGTTGCATAGTCGTGATCGAACGATAGACGTCGCCCTTCCATCAGTATCTTCTTTTCCCAGGCCTTTTTCAGTACCCTTTCTTTGGTGGTAAACTCCAGAAAGGTCACCACCTTGGACCTTGGCGGTGCATTATTTTCCGGTTTGCGAGCCAGAGCTCTATGAGCACGTTGTATCTGTAGGTTGGTGTCCGGTAAAGCGAGTTCAGTTTTCAAAAGTTGATCCACAAAGTCAGACATGGAGTTACCTTCCTTCTCTTCGGGTACTCCATAAATGCGCATATTATTTCTCCTGGATCGACCTTCCAAACCCACCAGTTTCCCCTGCATGGCTCTCTGTTCTTTCATTGATTTAATCAACGCATCTGACCATGTTTACTGTCTCTGACCTCATCGATTCGTTCCTCCGCTTCTTTCAGCCTAGTTTCGTGGGCTTGGGTTAGCATGGAGTCCGCAGAACGTTTTTGGTAAATGTCCTGCTTCATATCTTCGAGTTCAGATTTCATGTCTCCCTTGATTTCTTCTTTAAGTTTGTTTAAGTCCACTTTATGCTCAGCCCTGAAATTGCGTATTTCCTGGAGCATTGAGCGCATGGTGTCTGCCGAGTCCTGTTGTGAGCTAACGGAGCGTCTTCCATCTCCGGTGAATTCTGTCTTTCTAGTTTGTCACCTTTCTTTTGACCTCTAGTTCTCTTTCCCCCTCTCATTCCAATACAAATTACATCGATTTGTATATTAATTGGCGAGTTAAGGGGGTTGGTTTCCAATCGCTATCGGGAGCAAAAAATGAAGCAGCCATCTCACTCGCCTTGCTCACCGGAAGTCCTCGCTGCACTATGTCTTAATGCTCTTAATGTTTTTCATTTTTGCAAAGCACTTTCAATTGCCTTGTGTTGAAAGGTGATTTATAAATCAACTTGCCTTGCCTTACTACTACTATTATTATTACTACTAGAACTACTACTAATACTACTACTACAGTTATACTTCCGCATGAGTCACTGTACCTCAGGTTTACAGGTGCTGTTGGCATACTGACAGCTGACATCAGGTGACATGACTCTGTAGACTGCTTCACCTGAGGAGGCCAGGTAACTGTTCACAGTGAAAGTTAAAGACACATGCAACACACTGCTGAAAGCCTCTGGGTACTGCACACTTTCATTTCTAAATGTGTGTGTCTGTGTGAGGAAGGATACACTGCAGTGACGGCCCAGTATGAGATGCAGAGAGTCAGAAGGAGGAAGGTGACCACTGGAAAGAAGAGCGTGGACATGATGTGACCGATGGCTCTGCAACAACACAAAACAACCGTCATCATACACTTGTGTGTTTAATCACATAGTTAGATCTGTGTGTCTCATGGTTCATACTTGCTGGCCTCTCTGAGCAGGGCGATGGCCACTTGCACTCTTCTCCGTAGGAAGATCAACATCAACAGGATGCACGCTTCTGTCACTGCCAGAGACACCACTGACACACACACACACACACACACACACACACACACACACACACACACACACACCACACACACACACACACACACACACACACACACACACACACACACACACACACACACACACACACACACACACACACACACACACACACACACACACACACGTGCTGTGTTTTCACATGTTCAGGTTCAAGGTAGATGATCTCTTTTAATGTTCTACATTTTTGCTTTGCGCTAAATCCCCCGAGATTACTGTTCTGAAAAGGATTTCTGATTCCCCTTTCTGAATAACTAAGGTCCCTTACAGAGAAAGTAGATGTAGGTCCAATACAGACAAATACTATTGCAACATAATGTCTGTGTCATAGTTCAGTTGGATAAAAAACAGACTTCATCGACCAACTAACAAAAACCTCTAAATAATTTGGAGGAATGTTTTAAAGTGTAAAGGTCAACGTTACTGTGGTATAAACAGTCATATTATTCAGAACAACTTAGTATTGATAAATTAATAGTTGAAAATAATACACTTTTGGAACATTTGATTTGTGTTCATGGGAAGAAATTGTACATTGGAGTTAGAGTTTAGAGATGTTGTTTATTGTCTGTATCGGTGTTAATTAGTTTCAGATGATTGCCAATTGATGTCAGTATTGCTACATGAACAGTGCGTTTGTAATGAGAGCGTGACATGACATCTTGCGAGAGCACCTCAGCAAGAGAGAATATGTGTGTACTGAAGTTCAGGTAGTTAGCACCATTTGGTGAATGTGGACCTGAATGTTACTTTCAGATTTTTTCAGAAAAACCTTAAAATGAACAGTGTAGCACGGCACCACAGTGAGCCTGTGTGACATTCTGTGCACACTGCATTACTTTAGTGTTCCATTGGAGTAAATGGTGACTTCCTGTGAAGTGTCACAAAGCAGACGGACTTACATAATATGATCCATGTCTGAGAGAGCTGCAGGTAGACCTGCAGGTCAGTCTGCATACCCACTGCTACTATGGCAACATCAGAGCCGGGTGTGTTTCTCAGCCTGGACAACTGCATGGAGCAGTACCACATACCTGCAAACAAGCACACACACACACACACACACACACACACACACACCACACACACACACACACACACACACACACACACACACACCACACACACACACACACACACCACACACACACACACACCACACACACACACACACACACACACACACACACACACACACACCACACACACACACACACACACACACACACCACACACACACAAATGAGCTGTGGAGACAGATTATAGTGATAGGATTCCGGTAGAAATCCCTTGAACACACCGTGAGTACACACCGTAGGCCAGCAGCAGTAAGAAGGTGATGATGGTGGTCCACAGCAGCAGGCCCGCAGTGAACCTCAGCAGCAGGATGAAGATCAGACTCACAGCCAGGGATAAGAGCAGACCTCTGTCCCACAGCACACAAACAACGGCATGTTAACACACTTGTCTTGCCAAGGCAGAACGTATAAAAGTTAGCGCTGAGCTTCAGTGTGCAATGTTCAAAACAACAGATAAAGCCAGAAATCTAGGTGTAGTCATGGACTCTGACCTGAGTTTCAACAGTCACATTAAAACAGTTACTAATCAGCCTACTATCACCTAAAGAATATATCTAGGATTAAAAGACTAATGTCACAGCAGGATTTGGAAAAACTTGTCCATGCTTTTATCTTCAGTAGACTGGACTACTGTAATGGTGTCTTCACAGGTCTCACTAAAAAATCTATTAGGAAGCTGCAGCTAATTCAGAACGCTGCTGCTCGAGTCCTCACTAACACTAAGAAAGTGGATCACATCACTCCTGTTCTGAAGTCTTTACACTGGCTTCCTGTGTGTCAAAGAATAGATTTCAAAAATACTGCTGCTGGTTTATAAAGCACTGAATGGTTTAGGCCCAAAATACATTTCTGATCTCCTGCTAAATTATGAACCATCCAGATCTCTCAGGTCTTCAGGGACTGGTCAGCTTTCTGTCCCCAGAGTCAGAACTAAACATGGTAAAGCAGCGTTCAGTTATTATGCTCCAAATATCTGGAACAAACTCCCAGAAACCTGCAGGTCCGCTGCAACTCTGATTACTTTTAAATCCAGGCTGAAGACTTTTCTTTTTGTCGCTGCTTTTAATTGAACTATTCATATCTTAAACTGCACTGTAACTTTTATCCATGTATTTTTTCTTTTAATGTTTATTTTATTAGCTTTTCTTTTTAATGACTGATTTTAAATGCCATTTTCTTAATGTCTTGCATTTGTTGTAAAGCACTTTGAATTGCCTTGTGTTGAAAAGTGCTATATAAATAAACTTGCCTTGCCATGCCTTTTAAAAACTAAATGATTTCAGGTTTGTCACAGTGTTTCAAAATACAGCCATTTACATTAAAGGTCTCCTATTATAAGGCATATATTATAGGTCTCAGACATATACAAATATATACAAAACATGTCCATGTGTTTTTCTCAAAATACCATACCTGATCAGAATTCTACCCAGATACTCAGCTAAATGCTGCCGTGATGAAACTCCATATCATGTTCCAAACCATCCAATCAAGAATGATTTCTGAAACAGTATGGAGCTAAAATGCTTTTTCTCTTGCAGGTTTACCAATATCCTGATTTTTTACACTTATTCTCTCCAGTACAGTGTTAGCTCTGAGTGTTAGCATGGTAATGTAAACAAAGACCATATTACTTCCACAACACGTCGTGTATTGTTTCTGACAGCAGCGTTTCTGATAGTGCCGTGGGTGTAAAGCCCGCCCACATTTCAGATATTACATCATATCGGTAGTAAATCTGGATCAGCTTCGTTGTTCCCCCGTTTTTAGAGATGTGGGTACGAAGGAAAAGAGAGAGGGTTTTATTTCTGACACTTTGTGTGTTCCCTGGCACACCGGGGACACGTATTTATGTATAAAAGACATCAAAAGTGCATTTTGCATGATAGGTCCCCTTTAAAACAAGCCTTAACTACCCACAGCTTTGAGGAACACACTGTTATAAATATCTTTGAGATGTGTTTGCCTGTGGTGTGTAATTACATGATTATCCATGCCCATGTCTTGGCATAATCTTCCACTATCTTCATCCCCAGCTCCTTGGTGTCCACCAGTGCTGTTATACCCCTGCTCAAAGGAGAGGAGGTTTGATTAGAGTAGAAGGGGACAGAGAGACTTCATCTTTACATACATATCCAACATTTCCAGGTCACTATGACTAATTATTTTGGTTACTTGTACAATGGAAATCATAATATATATTTTGTATTTGTGTGTGGGAGAAAATCTCTCTCTGTAGTAAATCAGGAGTTTTCTGTGTTGGAGGTAGAGTGTTGGGTGCTGTTAGTCCGTACTGTAAGTGATGTTGAGTGATTTTTGACTATCAGAGAAATGTAAAGTAGATGTAGAGGTAGAGGGTTCAGTACTTGGCTGCATGTTGGAGTTCAGTGACACTGCGGGCCGTTTCCAGAGCATCTTTAAAGCTGGTCCTGTTAGCCACAGTCACCGTCCCATTCAAAGAGGTGAAGTCAGGGAGACATCTCTGGAGAACTGACACACACACACACACACACACACACACACACACACACACACACAAACACAACACACACACACACACACACACACCACACACACACACACAACACACACACACAACACACACACACACACACACAACACACACACACAACACACACACACCCACACACACACACACACCACACACACACACACACACACACACACACACACACACACCACACCACACCGCATTGCAATCAAATTCCCTCCCAAACAACATTTACATCATGCAACGTATGATGTAAATACAAGTCAAAAGTTTGGACACACCTTCAAATTCGAAAAATGTCAAAATCCAGAATATGATTTTTATTTTAGATTCTTCAAAGTAACCGCCTTTTGCCTTGATGGCAGCTTTGCACACTCTTGGCTTCTCTCAGTCAGCTTCATGAGGTGTAACCTTGAATGGTTTTCAATTAACACGTGTGCCTTGTCAAGAGTCCATTTGTGGAATGACTTGCCTTCTGAATGTGTTTGAGACCATCAGTTGTGTTGTGCAGAGGTAGGGGTAGTGCACAGTGGAAAGCCCTATTTGACTACTGCTGTAATCCATATGATGGCAAGAACCACTCAACTCAGTAAAGAGAAACGACCGTCCATCATCACTTTAAGAAATGAAGGCCAGTCGATCCGGAAAATGTCAAGAACTTTGAATTCATCCTCAAGTGCAGTCGCAAAAACCATCGAACGCTATGATGAAACTGGCTCTCATGAGGACCCCCCCGGGAAAGGAAGACCAAGAGACACCTCTGCTGCAGAGGATCAATACATCAGAGTTACCAGCCTCAGAAACCGCAAATGAAAGCACCTCAGATTAGAGCCCACATCAATGATCACAGAGCTCAAGTAGCAGACAAAGCTCGGCATCCACTGTTCAGAGGAGACTGCGTGAATCAGGCCTTCATGGTCCAATCGCTGCAAAGATCCACTACTGAGGATGGACAACAAGAAGAAGAGAATTGTTTGGGCCAAGAAACACAAGGATTGGACTTGGACAGTGGAAATCTGTACTTTGGTCTGATGGGTCCAAATGAGAGATGTTTGGTTCCAACCTCCGTGTCTTTGTGAGACGCAGAGAAGGTGAGCGGATGGTTTCTGTGTGTGGTTCCCACCGTGAAGCATGGATGAGGAGGTGTGATGGTGGGGGGGCTTTGCTGGTGACACTGTTGGTGATTTATTCAGAATGCACACAAGGCACACTTAACCAGCATGGCTACCACAGCATTCTGCAGTAGCCAGCAAAATATAAATCATATTCTGGATTTGTTAACACTTTTTTGTTTACTAGATCATTCCATATGTGTTATTTTATAGTTTTGATGTCTCTATTATAAATCTACAATGTAGAAAAAAATTAAATAAACAAAAAACTCCAAACTTTTGACTGGTACTGTATGATGGAGCTGACAAAGGTATTTTTTTAAAGAAAACATCTAAATCTGTCCATTTAGACTCATATGACCTAGTTGAATATAAACAGATTAAATGTTCAGTAGGTATTTATTTCTTACATGGTCTACTAGGAACGAGCATGGAGGGGCAGTCCTCGTCTCGTAGCACCTGAGAGACCGGCTAAAGGACACAGAGAGACAGTTCTGATGCTTTGTGCTACAAACAAAGAAAAACGTCTAAAATAATGTTTTTTCGGTTTGAACCGATTTCCAGCCGAATTCACAGATGTATCCCTGAAGTCTTCAGTCCTTGGCTACACCTTGAGATGTATTCATCAAAGTTTGGACTCTGTATGACTCGTATGCTGCTCTTATCAAGTCACATTACATGTTCCTGCTCAGTGTGTTCCATGGATGAAGTTTACGAGTCAACTTCATCAGCAGGGCCACGCCTCTACCCCCCCTCTGATCACCTGCTGAGCTACTTATACTGGTCAACACATCCAGCCAGAGGTCGCGTTAACCGAATATTTTCCGTCTATAACGGATTTTTTTTAACAATGATGGAAAAATCTGAAAGCAGTCCGTCATTTTGACGGATTAGAACAAACTCGGAAC